TGAAAGATACAGACATATTAACTAAGACTGCACTACTCACGTGTTCCTCTATGTCAATTTATATGAAGATATCAAGTGATTTACATTTTTCCAGAGATAATTCATCATCATGTTTAACTGACTATACCATGACTAAAATTACACAATACTTATACTATTTATAGAGTAACATGCAGAGACTGGTACCATTAACTCAGACACCACTACCCCAGGTTCAGAAAACAAGTCTGCAAGTAAAGACTATGAACCACAAGACCTTTGGAGTGGAAGATGTTCCTCCTAAAAAACACACAAGATGGCATTTACTGCTTGCTATTGTCTTGCATTTTTCCCACCCCCTCCAGCTCAGTGTCAGGTACTGCTTAGAAGTCTGCTTAGTAAGTGCTGCTTATCAACGTTATCAGTGCTTATCTTACAAGACTTCAGTTGGAGTAAAGCCATAATTCCACGTGTTTCGTTTTAAAGACAAACTTTCATTTAAACAAAAATCCTCACCTAAATATAATATAGAAAACTTCACATCTTAGGCATGCTTTTTAATATAGTGCCTGGAGTGAAAACCCAAGAAGCCATTCAGCATCACCCGCTACAGAGCCGATGGGATTTGGTCCCTTCCCACACTGTGAGACATTATTTGTTTTAGCTTATTAAAAGTTTTAAAATAAAATTCCTTCCTCGACCACTTTCAAGGGAGCACACACAAACCAGCTCCACAGTGGGAATGTGCTCCACCCACAGAGGGCTATGGGAAAGCATCCTGAGGCATCAGGCCAGAAAAGAAAGAAAACATTTACTAAGGCCATCTTGTCTGTGATGATGGTGAACTAGCCAAGAAACTATAAAATGGGCAAAGAATTTATATTTCCCAGACTTCAAAATGTAAGAGAGATGGCCCATGTGTTAAAGTATACTCTTTGTGCCTTCAGGCAAGTCAGCAGCTAATTTTAATGAACAGACTCAGTGCATTTTTCAAAAATTAAGAGAGAGATTTGGGATTTGGCTCCAGAAGTGAAACAGGCACCCTAAATGTGCATATTTCCACTGCTGAGCACACCGACCTGCTGAGCTGATCAACACTTCCTCAGAAATTCTACTTGGTGGAAATCTGTTTGTTCAAGGTGTCTGCTTCACTTCTGAAGCCAAACTCCAGATGTGACCACTGAACAAATACAGAAAAACATACAATTTAAAAAGAGATGCATTAATTTGTGGGTTTTTTTTTTTAGATAAACGTATTTGTTTAATAATATTAGCCACTAATAAATAATGTATTAAATTAAAAGCAAGAAAAATAAAACTATAGACATTTTTAGCTCTTGGAAAGTACCAGCAATTTTGTTGTTATTACTCAAGAGAAAAGAGCTTAATATTTGACAGTTACATCAACAACACAGAGCTGAACTTCAGCGCTTGAAACCAGTCCCTTACCAGCCACACCTACCTTTGGAGATGAGTAATAGCATTTTCAGATATTTCAATTTTACTTGAGTGACATTTGTAAGGAAAATAACTAGAAATGTAGCAGTGGAAGACGTAGAACGTAAAAGACAAGCTTTGTTACTTAATTTTCCACATGACATACCAGACTCCTTAGCTATGCCCAAACTCTGAGATATGTGAGAAATACAACAACAGAAAGATCTCTGCTCTTGTTAGAATCCCATGTGACTTGCACAGGGCAACAGTGCACCCCGTGGTGCTGCTGGTACTAAAATCAGTATGACAGCATCCTCCAGCCCCCTATATGAGCAGTCTTCTCCACTGAGAGTTGGCATAAGCTCTGACCACAAAGAGACACAGTATTTTTGCTGGCCTAAGCACAGTGTAGAGAGATTTACTCCAATATTGTACTCTTGGCTGGTAATTTTTCTTGTATTATGACAGACTGCGCCGACGAGACAGTTTCCTTTACAGGATGATATCAATGCTTGTGCTATTTATCAGTTGGAATGTACCAATGGTTTAAGTTTACTAATACAGTAAGACTTCAATTTGCAAATAATTTGCATGCCATTATTATTATTTTAAGCCTTGAAGAATTAGTGTTTGATGTAATACCAGTTTCCTCACTGAAGCATTTTCCAGATACAAGCAGGAGAGCGATGCTGAAGCCTAAGCATTCTGACAGGGAAAAATTATGTCAAAACATTTTGTTTGGTAACCCTATTTTTGGAGATGGCAAGCACCCAGCTCTGAATTAAGCACAAGGAAGGTGAGAGCCACGCCATCTTCAAAATGAAAACATGTATTTTTAAATTAGGCATGTGCCAGTCACACAATCCAGATGACACACAGTAATAAAAAACCTCCCAAAAGCCACGGTGACCAGGATCAATAAGCACGCATCTACTTGCAACACAGGTTGACATAATCAGCCAAGAGTTAACAGCACAGTGCACAAAGCCACATGAGCAGCCAGAGGACTCTGCTCTCAGCCTCTCTGCGATTGTTATCACATGGAAACTCTATTACCCCACACAAAAGAATCAGAGGGTTATTAACTTCTATACTAAGCCAAAGTACAAAAACAGGGTAGGACCTAACATCCATTCTACTGTTTCACTGTGTTATTCCTTCGCCTCTTCTAATATAAATATGGGCATTAGAATAGAATATATATCCTACATATAACTCTTCTCATATCATTCCATTATGTCTTTTTTTCTCTATTAGAGTCTTTTATACATGTTTTCAGTATCAAAGAAACCCCCAAAACATAGGCAGTGTCTTGTACAGGTGAAGAATGTATATGGTACTCATAATCAACGTAAGTAATTGTAACAAAACTGTGATTATTTTCTTGGAGGAATATACTAATCCAGCACTATTTTGTCACACGTAACCTTAAATCAGAGATTACACTATTCCCTTAAGCAATCAATTCAGTGCAGACAGCCAAGAACATTGAATAAGTCACTTCTTCAACACTTTCTATATATTAAAATACAACAGAGAAGTTTCAAGGCACAGTTTTTGACAGGTTCCTTAAAAATAAATCCAACAGTCTCGAGAACAATAGTATATTGATCAAAGTGGATGAAAAGAAAAACACAAAACAAACAGATCCTATTACTGCCAAAGGAGGGTGGGGGAAAGGAGCCATTTTAGAAGCTCTCAATTCTTCAGTGCAAGAACACAGCAAGCATTTTTCAGAATCCATCCAACTTTCAGCCACGTTCCCCTACCATAGGTCTTACAGCATCCTCACCTTCTTGTAGAAGAAAACATGAGAAAGACAGCAATCCATACCTCTTACCAGACAGACTTCATCAACCTATCAAATCACTTAATGTTACCTGCATTCTTTTTAAACAGTGACAAAAATCTACCCAACTTGTAACTTCTAATACATAACTCACATACAGCTACCTTTCCTGGTCAAGCAGCACAGTTCCACAGCACACCTGCAGTCAAATTCTCTGCAAGAGCCAAGAAGAAAATTTGTTGCAAGCTGTTCTGTAGCTCTCTCAAGAAAAGGCTGAAGAACAATAAACAATGGTTATTCACTAGAAGGTACACAGCAACCCACACCAAGGGTAACCTTACAGTCATGGCAGCAAGTAAATTCACCTTCCCTTCAGCGCTTTCAAAGGGTGAGCATGCAGTCATTGACCTTAATGCGGGGAAAAAAAATAAATAACCCTAAGCTCCTTCATCATAAACACTTTGACAAGGTAGACTGAAATCCCCGAGAATAAGCACGTTCCTGTGTAAACGCAACAACAACAAAAAGCCCGCACAGTTCCCTAGATACGCATAATTAAGGATACATCACTCCCCTACTTTCCCAGGGAAACTCATCTGCTGTCTAAAAAAAGAGCCCCCTGTCACAGTGCCACGCCAGGGTAAGCACCAATCCTTCAAGGTTCTGCACATCTGGCCCCAGGCCTCCTGTTTCCACCTTCTGATCAGCTTCGACTTAAGATTTCTTGCTCTCTCATCCTTTTTCCACGCATCTCATTAAACACCGTCCTTAACATCGTTCCTTCAAGCCCATCTTCCAAATAAAACACTAACTGCAGCTTTTCTGACACGCAGACAGGTCTGTGATCTATTCCACGGGGAAAAAAAAGAAATTATTTCCTTGCCTGTAATTCCTCACGAAAAAGAAAGCAATACCCTTTCCATGACAGGAACCTTCACGCAGAGCCTATCTCCCTCCTACACAGGTAAGAACAGCTGTCACTGCCTTTGTGTTTTCCACCTCACGAACCAACTGTCCACGCACAGCTCCGGACCTGAGCCCAAGAGCCCCGCAGCACCGCTGTGATGACACCGCCGTGTGCCCGCATCTCCGTGCTCAGGAGCCTCCCCCAGCACTGCAGATCCCCTTCCCCAACAAGCAGCGTCCTCTCGAGGGCTGCCCTCCCTCCCCGTGCACGCTCGGGAGCCGCCCTCGTCCACAATAAGCCCGGATCAGCCGGCTGCCGTGCCCTCCTCGCCTTCCCGGGGCCTTCCCCGGCCGCCTCTCCCCGCCGCCCTCCCCTCGCACCCGGCCGGGCCTCTCCAGGCGCTCCCCGCGCCGCCCGCCCCGCTCCGATCCCAGCTCCTCAACGCCGCGGCCCGGCCAGGCCGCGCTCCCCCGTCCCCAGCCGGAGCCGCTCGGGCAGGCCGCTCGGCCCGGCGCAGCGAGGCCGCTTCCCCATTGCCGCTTCCCATTACCGTCCGTCGGGGCGCTCGGGCCCGGCTGGGCCATGGTTCCGGCGGGCGGCGCCGCCGCGGCCTCCTCCGCCTCCAGCCGCGGCGTCGGAGCGGGAACCGCTACGCCAGGGGGCCCCGGCGAGAGACGGGAGCTGCCGGCCCGGGCCTCCGCCTCCTCCGCCTCATCCTGACAGCGGCCGCCGGCGGCGGGAGGAGGAGGAGGAGGAGGAGGAGCGCCGCGCAGGCGCCCACGGTGAGAGCGCGGGAGCGGCTGCCGCCCGCGGGGCCGGGAGGGCCGCGCTGCGTGAGGCGGGGTGCGAGCCGCGCTGGGCTTCGCCGGAGCCGGGACGGGCGCTATAGCGAAGCAGCCTGGCCTCTCGAAGGACCTCCTGCCCACCAGGAGCCCCGTGCTGGCGGAGGAGGCTGTCAGTCCTTCCACCGTAGCAGGTAAATACGTCTCGGCTCTACTTTTTAATACCACAGGAGATGCACGGTCTTTAGAGGCTGTAAAATCACTGGGAACAACGTTGGAATGGATGGTGTGATACCAAATCCCGTCAGGGGCGGGATCCTCCTCTCCTGGTTGGCCTGGAATCACAGAATCATTAAGGTTAGAAAAGATCTCTAAGACCACTTAGTCCAACCGTCTAGCTACCACCAATACTGCCCACTAAAACACATCCCTCAGTGCCACATCTCCATGTTTTCTGAACAACACAGTGACCCCAGCAGCTGTGATGCAGCTGTGCCACTGCATCACTGCTCTTTATGGCGAGAACTTTTTTCCAGTATCCAGTCTGAACCTTCCCTGGTCCAGTGTGAAGCCATTCCCTTTTGTCCTTTTGCTGTTACCTGGGAGGAGAGGCCAGTCCCCACCTTGCTACAACCTCCTTTCAGGGAATTGTAGAGAGCAAATCTAAAAGCAATCATTTTTAAACTGACTCTCACAGGACTTTGTCCTGACCCTTCACTTGTGGCCGCATTTCTTTAGGCCTTGCTATCAAACTGTGGCAAGACATAGAATTCTGCATTTCAGATTAAATTGTTGTTCAGTCTGAACAATCTTGAGATAGAGGAGGAGCCTTTGAAAACTATTCCTCTATGTTTTGCCCATTTTGATCATCTTACCCATTTTACCCAATTTGAAGTAAGCAGTTTCCATTTTTGCTGTAAAAAGTGGTCCTTAGGTAAAAACTTACTTACCTCTATTCACAATGCAAGCTATCAGTTTTCTTTTCAAGGGTGTTTGGAGACCGTGGGATTGCCAAACAGTCAGAATTGCTGGCTTAGAAACACAGTCCTTCAAGCATTTCATCACTACCACCTGTCTATTTCAAAATTTCTTAGCTGCTTCCTAGGCTCTTTTAGAAGTAGCTGAATATTAAGCATTGGACACAATAAATCCTTTTGAAAATCTAGTTCTAACTGCAGGAACTGAGGTTTGGAAATTTTATCCTTGTGTATGTTCAAATGAGTACCCCAAACCACCCATATGAACATCTTGTTCATGTCAAGGCAAAACTTCCACTCACATCAATTTGTCCAGGATTAGACCCCTAAAGTAGCACTAACTTTATTGGATGGTTCTTGTTTAATATTTTTGCTTTTTCTGGGTAGCAGTTGGACTTGACAGATGCAAAGGTTTATGGAGTAGCTATTCACAATGTCTTGTGATGTGGAACAATTGGGTAACTTCCTCTATGCCTCCCCAACGTCCCATTTAATTCTAAACGCTTGTAGTTCTTATAGTCCTGATCTCAAAGGATCTTCCGACGTGACTCAGCTAAACACGAAAAGTGACAAGCAAAGTTTAACTGCAGTCGTGGAAACAGGTCTGTTGCAGTGGCAACACCAGCCGAAACCAGAAGGCTGAATCCCAGTCCCCCGTGCTGTAAATGTTAGACAGGTGCAGTGTTAATGAATCAGCAAGACATGGCTTAGTTCTAGAGAGCTGCAGGTGGATAGATTTATTTATTCAGGAGAATAATTTTCTCCAGCAATAATAAAACTCCTAGATTTCAATACATTTTTATCAGGTATATTTGGTCTAAAAACATTGTCAGCATAAGCACCACAAGCAGCGGACAGAAGTTAGAGGAAGATGAAGAGTGTTAGTAGCAGCTGCAGGAGGGGCTGTCACCTTGCACTTTGCCTGAAATTTAATCTCACGGCCTTGCTGAGAAAGGTAAGTTTGTAGCTTTTGTTTAAACAGTAATATCCAGTGACAAGCAGTAAGTTTGTACAGTCCATGGTTGTCTGGAGACCAGAAGTAAACGGAGGGGGACTGAGATTATTTGTTTGAGAAGGGTGTAGTGAAATGATTTGCGTGACATATCTAAGAGAGAATTGGGTTTTTTTGTTTTCTTTTTCTTTTTTTTTTCTCTGAAGGAAATAAAATGAATAAGCAGCAGAAGAGCTAATTAAATCTTTTCCTAATAGATCCATGTTTTGTGGTTGACTGACTTCAGTGCCTGTAAATGCTCAAGTTCCAAATGAAACTTTTCCTACTTCTTTGAGCGCGCAGAAATCTCTCTTTGTGTGGCACATTAACCTCAGCTGAGGCATGTATTTTTGGAGAATGTAATGATTGTTGCTTTTATCTGTGTAACTAGTCCCAGATCACAGACCTAGTTGAGTTTACTCTGGCTTTATCCCAGTTCCATGTCAGGACAAGATACAATTCCACGTGTTTTACCTCCACTTGCAGTAAAGTACACAGCTTAGGGGGATGTCACACCAAGTCCTTTCATGTGCATGATCAGAGGACTGGGGCTTCATTGCTCTGGGCGTCAGACCAATGAAAAGTGTGATCGTAACAGCTTTGTTTTCCTAGGAAGTGAGGCTAATAAAATATAGAGCTAGTTCCTTTATGTTCATATTGTACAAGACACCACTGTTTTGTACCATAATTAAGCTGATTCTACAAAAAGCGTGTTCTTTAAAAAGATAAACTGAAGTTTTGGACTTGCAAGGCTGAGTCTACATCTGGTGTGAATTCAGTGGGAACAGACTTATGCGTGGCAAATTGGAACCTGGTCTATAGAAGAGAATCAAAATGGATATCAAAAAGTTCCTCTGAAGTGTGCTGTTTCCCATTCATATTGCTTTGCTGGCCTGCTGGCCACAAATTACTTTGATTCCATTGTGCCCTGTATGGTAGGAGTATGCAGCAGCAAATTACAGACCCTGCTTCATAATGTAATTCATCTCATAAACCACCCACTGTTTAATTCAGTCCATCCAAGAAAGCTGATTAACAAGGTAGATTTGGGAAGCTGCCTAGTGGGTTACCAGACTAGCACACTTAGTGGATACAATGACAGAACTGAGGACCAGAAGACTGAACAACTAGAAGAGCTAACTTGGGAGCAACAGCTCATATAACCCAGGTGACTATCAGTAGGCCTTAGACAGTGAAGGTTTTGGTAGTGGTCTCACTTACTGGGCAAACTACAAGAAGGCTGTCTTAAAACTAACGCAATAGGAAAGACCTGATGTGGGGAAAGTAAATAGATGACCAGAAAAGAACAAATGTGTTTTTAACTGCAAGTGAAGCCCAAGGGAAAAGAAGCTGCTCACGTCTCTACGGAAGGACTCAGCTGCTCACAACAGCAAGCCATTGGTTTATTCAACAGGGAAGTAATAGACTTGTCCTTCTAGGAAAAGAGAAAATGGAAACCAGAAGTTATTGCTTGTACTTTATATGTTTCCAGGTTTGCCAGAATTTGTCAACTGTTTCTTCTCAATTTTTTAAAGCAAATGAAAAGCTTAAATTAGAAAGTGCTCAGAGTTTCCCAATGCTTAAACATTTATTTTCCTCTTGTTGAGACTGATGGGTCATTAGCATTAAGCATTAGCTCTGCAGATATGAGTGTTTGCAGACTTTTGTCCTTTCTCTTTAATGCAAAGCTTTTGAAGAAAATTCACATTCATTTAAGTATTACTATAAAGAGGTTGGTTGAAAATCCCAAACCAGCCATGCTCTTTGCTTCAAAAGTTGTTCTACAATGCAAGGAATTCAGTCTGGAACAATCACATTATTTGCAATGGTAACTTCTTAGTAAACCTTAGAATAGTTTATGTGGTTAAAAACCTTTTCAATTGAAAAATTATGTTATCCCATCGATCGTTTAAAGGATTCCATGTGGTACAGTTCTTTGAATATATGGGAAGCAAATGAAGCCAAAAAAGAAAATTTGGCAGGCAAAAATTGAAGTGCTTGCATTGGCTCTAGATCTAGATATCTGAACATTAATGATCTCATTGGAGAGATGTCTATATTAAGATTCAAAAGCTTTCTGGGTTCCCAAGGGGCAAACTCATTGAATACTGTGATGCACTATGAAACTAAACAATTTTTCTTATTGCAAAATAACCAAGGAATCAGAAACTCATTGCGTGAGCATTGCAAAGGACACATTAAGAGGATAGTCCTGTGGGTAACCTCACTCAGCAATGCTTCATTGGAATTGTCATTGCAGAGAGGTCCAAAACAACACTGCTTTGTACTTAGATGTTGCTTTGTTGAAAGATCTAAAAATATTCCATAACCCATTCAGACTCACAACGTTTATATTAGCATGTTATCTGCATCTGTCTCTGGATGTACAGAGAAGGATGTAGTAGGGTTCAGCCAACCTTCCCACAATGGTTTAAACTTCTAGTGCTATGCAGCCTGCTCAGCCCTTGCATTAGGGAGAACTGTTGCTTAGCCATGCTTAGCCTGAGTTCAGATCTGTCTTCATCAATGATTTAAGCAGAGATGCTGGATTTCGTATTGCAGTAGTTGAAGTGTGAACACGTATAGCCCCTCCTGCCGGCCCTGCTATTGTATTTCAATGAGTGAGAGCAAGTACTGGTGCTGGATAGTCATTCACTGTGTCAGTCACCATACTCCCATTAGTGCTCATCCAGCAAAGCCCAGCATGACACAGCAGTTGGCACAAGGACCCCAGAGAGAACTCTATTGCTTGTCTACCTATTTAAGAGATTCTATTTTTACTTTAAATGCTAAAATAATAATGAGGGGTTCTGCTTTTTAAGGCTGTTTTAGATGGATATTTCGGAATTGGGAACACTAAAATTGCAGCTATGGCAAGTATTACATGTAGTTGTATTTTTCAAAAGAAGAGACAATGTTAGCAGCTCATTCATTCAACTTCCTATTCTTGAGAAGACCAGTTCATTAACACCAATAAGATAAGCAATATCAGATCTTCAGGATTGGGCCATTTATCCCATTTTCTCCTTCTGAGGCACAAGCAGATCTGATATCCTATAAATTCTAAAGACTGCATTTTCTACTTGCCAAGAGAAGGAGGGAACGTTACAAGTACCATAAAATTCATTGTCCCATGTGCATTGTATTAAAAGATTTCTGTGTTAAGACTTCAATGGCAGTGCTTGCTTTGGAGAGTTTTATTAATCCAACCACTGTTAACTCTCACTATGTCCCTTTTAGAACACATCTTCTGAAGATATTTGAACATGATAGCCAAGAAGACTGAACAGTTTTTGAAGAAGCAGCGGACCATGCAGCTGAAGAGATGCAATAGGTTTTCAGAGAACTGAATCCTTGCACATCCTTCAGATGAATAAGCCCACCCTTCTGAAGAGTTTGGTTCAGGTAGGATTTCTGTATGCTCCAAAAATGTAGCTGGAGTCCTCCTTCCAAGCTGGACTATTCAGTGATTCCCAAGCCTTTTCTGAGGCTCTGCCTGTGCTCATTCAACTAGAGACCCAAATACTTATCAGTACAAACTTAAATCACATATACAGGATATAGGTCAGTAGGTGGACACAGCTCGTCCAACAGTGTCTCATCAATGCCATCCCATTGTAATGAATCCTTTTATTCTGTTTTCCCTGATCTCTCCTAGATGCTACAGTGGTTTCTCTACTTGCCTCTTTATTTTAGCAGGTGTCTTTTCCAAAGCTGTATCCTTTAGATGCAGATACACGAAATAATTTGTACTTTTATGGCACTCACTGGAGACAGAGCATTTTAGTGCAACCAGAAGAGAAGGAATCATCACAGGTTTAGAGAATGGGAAGCTAAGACCTGGAGAGATAGCATAATTTGCCCAGGAATACACAGAAGCTCAGCACAGCAGGAAAAAAAAGAATGTGTATCTCCTACCCCCCATCTCTTTCTTTCTTTTTTTTCCTTTTTTCTTTTTTTTTTTTTTTTTGCCATAAAATGTATTTCTCTCCTTTACTTATTCATTACACATTTAAAAATATCAAAAGGCTTCTGACCTCCGCTGAAAAATAGCTGAAGACTATCTATTATAAAAGCAGTTAAAGAGATTAAATGGACTCATTTCCTCCAGAAACTCAGTTTGATTCTGTCAAAAATGTTTGCTGCTAGGATACACTTTCTTGCCTCACTCTTTCACCATTCATACAGCATTAAGCAGCTCTCTTCTCCTCTGAGACCACAGGAGGTTTCGCATTATGCCGTTAACCTCCTTCAGATCATTTCCTCCATGCAAAATCCAAGTTACATTTACATGCAGACATAATGTCACTCAGCCCACTTTATGCTGCTTAAATCTCTCTTGTTGCTATGGAGAACATTGATAAGGAGCCAATTAGCAAATAAAATATTTGAGGAGGAATGTGAAAACAGCTACTTGGTGGATTTGTGTGTAATAGGCAGTGACACTTTCTTTGGCATTTGTCCTTACCTAGCTGAGCTTCTTCCACTGCAGCTTAAGCAACATTCTCTGTAGTCGAAACATGCTCTTCGCACTGGATTTTGAGGCTTAGACATGTATCTTTAACTGTATCTGACCCTGGGGAATTTTGACAATTCTCAATAGAACAGGGAGTTTGCTTGTTTTTCATGTGCTTTTGCTGGCATGAAAGTGCAAAGAGCACCATCCAGTGTTTAATCAGAGTAAATACAGAAGAATTCAATGACTGATATAAAGGCATCTCTGCTCATTTCACACTTGGGCTACACTTGGTGGGGCCAGTGAGGATCTTAATAAAAAGAGGCTACAGTCAGTTGGAAAAGAGACTTCTGAAGGAAGACCGGCAAGGTTGTCAACCTGTCATGAAAACATGAGACAACGTGAAGGTCACATCTTTTAAAGAAGAGCTAGATATTTTGATGACCTAGGGAGCAAAGAAGACAAGCAGGAGGAGGTGGGGTTAGCACTAGATGGGAGTTAGGCAAGAATAGTAGCAAATTCAATTTATTAAAGGAATGTGCTATGGCAGAGAGAGAAAACTGGGTCAGATCCTTATGTTGTAATCCTTCCTCTTAGTGAACTGAGCAAAAAGAGGTTGGAAAGTTACACTGGCAGTTAAGAAAGTAAGGGAGAAGTGACTTCAGCTGTTCCTGCTCAGTCTCAACAGCCTTGTATATAGATTGACAAATGTGGTAACCTTGGGTTTTAAGAAGAAAAATGATACAAATAAAAGATTTTGCACAGAAGAGTGCAGTGAGCTGTAGTTTTTATCACATAGGACTGCAGGATTTTGGTAGGCCAGACAGAAAGGGCTGATAGGACAACAAGGGGTCTATGAGGAAAAAATGGTCAGAAGTCCATTTAATTAATATCTGCAATAAAGTGATACCCAAATAAATGCCCAAGTGCAGCTTCTTCATGGAATAAGAATTGTGCTATATATTGAAGCTCTAGGTAAACAAGCAGACAGTTTTTGATATATTATGAAAATGTTTTTATTAATCAAAAATGCAGAGTACTCTGGTTTATCACAGTATTTACAGTAACATATCACTAATACATCCTCCTTAAAACCATACTTTGGGCTGGCATAAATTAGAAAAGCTATAATCCAAGACAGCCTCTCTGTTGTGTTCAGGATTCCCAAGAACAACTTAGCATGTGTTTGCTCTTACCCTTTTTATATTGGACGTGCAGAGAGGGACTCATTTCTTTCATTAATATTAAGCACAGTTTTGTTTATGCCTTGTGGCAGAAGTGCCCAGATGGCGTGGTTTGAATGCTGAAAGCATGAGAAGCATTTAATGTTCTGTGGTGCTCTGTTAAAGTTGTATGAATAGAACATCTGGTATCAAATCTTGGGATAAATCAATTCCTGCAAGTATTTGGACCTACTCTGGGTCTGTGCCTTGTTCCAGTTCTGCCTTCCCTCTCTTACTTTCCTGTTTCTAGAGCCAGTAGAGGATGGTTTATTGCCTGGTGCAACCCATTATATTCCCTTTGTTGGAGCTTGGCAATTAGTTGAGCAAAGAGTATAAAAATCACTTTGGCATCTGTGGGGTTGAAATGGCAACACTGACTTAAAATGCCCCTGAAAGGCTTTTTATCTGTCCTCAGGGTGGCGGAAAAAGGAATGGTCATCCAGAGATTTCAGGAAGGTGCTGCCTGATATGTGTGCAGCTTAACCCTACTGGGCAGTTTTTGTCTATGTAAAACTTCTCTGCCCACTGTAGGGACACGGTGTGGATGCATCCATGCAAGACCTCCCTGCCAGGGGGAGTGAATGCTGTCCCACTGCTCAGCACTGACAGATTCCACTGCCAGTCCTGCTTTATACATGAGAAAAAGTCCTGCAGATTTGAAGAGTGAGAAGGGGAAATGCGAGCTGTTGTCACGTTGTATGATTGATACCATACAACAGATGCAAGTGCCCACAGTTAAGTTAATCCTCAGCCCCAGTCTTCCAAATCATGAGCCACTGCTGAGCATCACAAGGAAGGGCAGGCTCTTATGCTTTTTACTTCAGTAATTATTTTTGCCTTAGGAAATGTTTAAAGAAAAGCTAAGAAAGGTTGAGTACACATTGCTCCTGTTACCCTTCCTGAGCCTTGACTCCACATTTGGCCAGATTTTCAGGTCAGTGATGTTGCAGATACCCAGAATTTACCTGACTCTTGGATCTCTGACCAAAACCATGATAGAACATCAAGTGGGAATTCCTAAGCTGCGTTTATAATATGATGAAGCAACTGTCTGACGTGCAGCAACCAGAAAAAACAGCTCACAAGGTTATGCTATTGAGGAAATAAAATATTTTGAGTCTTGTTATATGTAAAGGGCTGATTTTCTTCTCTTTTCTCCTCTTTGCAGGCTTTGTACATCAAACAAACTTCAGTGAAGTTATTTGTGCCTCACACAAGTGGTAAGAGGAAAGAGAAGAAAGTTATTCATATTTAATGCTATTTTGTGCCAGATGTTTTGCTGGTAGAAATCCATAGCTCCACAGGCACCAATTTCTTCAGGATCTGGAATGTCTGGCCCAATTTCTTTCTCATTCTGGATGGTCTATGAAAGAAACCACTTTATTTTGCAATATTGAATATTCTTGCTGGGAAGCTATAAGCAAAAACAAAATAATGAGAGACAGGATCTCTAATAAGCTTCCTGTCACGAAGCTCTGGTTCTATTGAAGCATATGTGTTTGCTGACTTGTTTCCAAAAGGTTTTTTGAGTGGTGGTGATTAGTTTCTGTTGTACTGATGTTATCTCTCTGCAGTCTCATTCAATACAAGTAGTTCTGTAAACAGTGAAGTCTTTTTTTCCTACAGATTTGTATCTTGGATTGTGTTTCAGCATGGATTCTCTGATGTTTAATGGGGATCGAGTTCATGTTTAGCCAATTTCTTCAATGAGGGATGAATAATCTGTCTTTTTGGCCATCTATTTTTACAAAATTTGCTGGAATTAAGTATCTTCAACGCTCTCTGTCAAAGTTGACTGGAATTTATGAACAAGTTTTTGAGTTATTCAGGGCTGTCCAGTGTAGATAAAAGAGTGTCATTTTCTTACAAAAACAGAATGTAAAAATGCATTCTTAAAGTATTTTGTCCTTGTATACTACCTGCTTGATTCTATTCTATTTGTGACCAGTCATATAGGATACGTCTTATTTGTAAAGCTGTATTAAGGTATGATGTGTTTTTTTGCCCTGTTGAGTGCATATTAAAGCATCCTTAGTTTATTCTTGTCATGGGCCAGATTGTATTTTTTTTGGTCCTTGTTGGAATATGGGAAAAGATGCCACACATTTAACTTCTGTGTTTACACAGGTGAGTGCAGACAAAGGACGTATGGTTGCTCGTTTAGTATCAGAGATTCCCATTTCTGGTTTGGAAAGGAAGAAAGGAAACACAGAATTGAATATGACCTTTTAGCTTGCTGAGTCCAGTTTCGTGCTTCTGCAGGTAGCTACGTTCTCAATCCTTCTCACAAGCAGATAGTGCTATTCAAAAATGTACTCTTTCCTCCTCGTTGTGTCTCCTATCTTCCCAGTTACCTATTTTATTTGGGAAATTGCTCTAGAATCTCCTAATTTTGACTGGAAGAAACCCACTGATTTCTGTGGTCAACTTATTCCAGAAAAAAAAGACATCTATCCAATTTTTTGTTTACATCTGTAGGTAAGACAGATCTGGGTGTCTCTTTATCTTTTTATCCTTCTGTCAAGTTACTTTGCTTAATGTAAATGAACAATTAATTTAAAATAGAAAAAGACAGTAATTTAAAAGGGAGAAGAAGTGGATCAGACAAGAAGGTGAGTGGATCAGACACGAATGTGATGTGTTCATTATGCCATCTGTTTATGGTAAAAGAGGAGCTGTCACACGGAAACAGAATAAGAGGTAGAGATCAGGCCTCTCTCATCTTTCCTTGCAAAATAGCCAGATTTCTTCACTTGATGACAGCAGACTAAGCCCTTGATTCTGAGCTGAATCTCTGAATGATCCCAAGAAAGACAGCAATGGAAATTTTAAACCCCAATTCTGGAACTGTGATTGTTCCTGCTGTGAATTTTTTCCTTCAAAAGATGTTGTCAGCTGGAACAAGTGTCTGCATTATGCAGTGACCACGTTTTGGTGCTCGGCAGCCACTCTTAAACACTGGACACAGCCTTTCACAGATACTGGCTGCAGTGACTTCCTTCAGATTCTTCAGGTCCAAATGATTTCTGAACAATGATCATCCCGGTTCCCTAAGAAAACATATCAGCAGCCAAAGAAAACTGGAGCGAAATGTGGCTAAACTCATTAGTTTCCACATTGATTCTTTGCCTCCTTTAAGCCTCAGCTGGTCCCAGTGGTCCACAGGGGTGTGCATGGTAGGCAGCCTTGACGTAGGAACATCACCCTGTGCCTGGCAGATAAAGATTGGAAGGGATATTTCCTGTTTTCTGTCCCCTTTTGGGACTGGCAAGAGGAACAGCACAGAACATGAGCAAGTCTTCCAAATCTTTGTTAACTGGAAGGATGGTGGATGTTGGCCAGTGGTGTCAGGATGTAAAAGAATAAGCAAATCAGAGTCTCAGGAGCCTAACAGGAAATGCAGACGACTGGGAGTGAGTGTCCCAACTTTTTTTTTTCTCTTTTTTTCTTTTTTTTTTGAATCTTAGACTTTAGCAACTGATGTGACAACAAGCAACCACAGCCACAAAACATACATTTGAGAACAGATGTGCATACATATCTCTGATCTCAACAGAAGTGTTGTTCATGATCTCATGGCCATGTGATGCCACCTTCATATTTAATTTTGGTTGTTATTTTGGCTATAAGAGTACGCTGTCTACTTGTGTGGCTGCAAACTCAGATCTGTGTAGGTCTGTGTTACCTAAGATTTAATACATTCTTCCCATATTTGCACACCTCTCCACAGTTTGTGGAGAAATTAAAGGTCCAAAGTTCAGCTTTATGTTAATAAATCCAGATATACCCAATATTTACCTTCCATGGTCAAAGAAACTGCCCCAAGAGTTGGTTGTCCTGCTGCATTTAGAAGGTGTCTGTGACTGTGTGCTGCAGAACTTCATGCAACCTTAGGGGAAAAAAAAAAAAGAAAAAATAATAAAAAAAAGCCAAGTGTATGCTCAATGGAAAACAGATGGATTTTTCATTAGATATAACTTTTAATGATCTGCTTTAAAAGTAAAGATTTGCCATTCCGAGTAGAAGAAGGGCCTCCTCATAGCTTTGTGTAGATCCCAGGATCATTATCTTAGCTACAGATAGAATTGCAAGATCCTTGTATCATTAGGAGTACCAGTCAGACATCTCTGCCACTGCTAGACTTCCAAACACAGCAAAACACTTTGGGGGCCTTAATAATATTTTTCCCTAAGACGTGTCTTCATTTAATAATGCAGAGTTGTTATGGGGCTGGCAGTTGGTTACTCGGTTTCTGGAGTATTCACCATTTAACCTAAGGTCAGAATAAAAATCTTTGAATACTTATTGCAAGACAGATCTTTTGCTTCACTGAGGGACTTGTCTTCACAGTCAACCATGGTGTGACTCCTCCAAGTGGTCTTACTGGCTGTGAGAGGTGGCCCCAGCAGTCTAGAAGGCCTGAAGACCCTTCCTGAAAAGATGAACCCTGCACTGTGTGCCTGTAGGTACTAAATCAACTTTTGACAAGTAGAGAACAATGCAGTCCCAGGGTTTTAGGAATAGATGGTTGCTGCCAAACCACAATAAATGCTTTTGTCTGGAACTCATGGAACAGTAACATAGCAAAGGAGGGTGTGCCCCTGTCCATTAGTCCCTCCAAGCAAATTCTCACAGACATGTTACCAGGAGTCAGATAGATTTCATGAAGCTAGTGGAGAAATAAGCACTCTTTCCTTACAAAGAAAGGCAGAAATACTGTAACTCAGCAAAACATAGGGCTTTTTTTGTTCCTAAGAGTTATGCAAGAAACTCTAATGCCCATACCCAGACAGCACCCTCTAAAATGAGACTCATATGAGAGAATTTGCATTACCTTTCTTCTACTACAAGTTGATAAAATTGCTTTACTTCCTCAGCATATATATAAATACAATCTGTGTCTCCAACTGTTTTCCAGTTGGAGACTATGAATCAGAATTCAAGCTTCTCAAAGTCCAAAGAAGTTTGGAGCTGATGTTCTGGTTCAGTGTCACCTCTGTGGAAAATACCTGCTTAAATAATAATAATAATAATAATAATAATAATAATAATAATAATAATAAAAACTGCATTAATAAACAAGAAATCAGTTCCTTGCTCTTAAGAGAGGTACTAGAAGGATCAATTGTAAGCTATTACAAATTATTAATTGAGTACCACTCAAATATGTATGGCTTTTCCCACTCCTTATTGAGATGATGTGTTGGTAACCTTCTTCAGCTTCCAGACTAGATTTCTAAATGACAAGAATATGTCCATAAATATTCTTGTGCCCAAACTCTCTTCTAGTTTAGATTACACTTAAATAGAATGTGAAGCTAAATATTAGGTTTGAACAACAAGATCACATATCCCACTAGTTCTATGGGTTTGTTGCTCTCTTTTAAAAAATGTTTTAATATAAATATTAACAGTTTTTAAAAGTTTTGTTACTTATTATATTATAATAACTATAATTATATTATATAGTTTTGCCAGGTCTGCTCCAGAAGCAATGTTTCCTATTTTATGACATTGGCCCATGATGTCAGAGATGGATGTTGGTGATATGACAGTAGAAGTTGGACCTTCTCACCAATATTCCATTACATTTTGTTGTTTGTTGACAGATGGCAGCAGAGGAGCAGTCTGACAGAATGGCATCTGATGTGGAAATGCATATGAAACAAAAGTGTGGAACTGAATTCCTTCATGTGAAAAAAGTTGCACCCAATGACATTAACTGATGCTTGCTGAAGATTTATGGAGACCAAACAGTGGATGTGAGCACAGTGAGGCAGTGAGTTTCAGTGCATTTCAGCAGTGGTGACAGTAACCATAGGTCACCACCACTGGTGCAGGTTTTGATGAACATAGCATTCAGGCTCTTGTTCATCACTGGTTAAAATGCACAGGTAATGGTGGTGGCTATGTTGAAAAGTAGCGCTTTGTAGTTGAGAATTTGCTCTCTCAGTCAGTTACTGTACTCATTGTATCTGTTGTTGTTTCCATGAAAATAAATAGGAGGCATTATGTTTGGAGAGACCTGCATACATGTGGCCCAATTCCTCTTCACTCAATGCATCCTAGGCAAGCCAAAGGGTTGAACACCCATGTAGTATACCATGAGCACAAAGCCTCTTCCATCAGACTAGTGATTAAAAGAAGTAGTAAAGTGCAGATACTGTTGTTTTTGAAGGAGGCTGAGTGAATGAATTCTCAGCGTATTCTAAACAGGCACCTTCAAGAAGTATCTAGTTATTCAAACCTGGTCACTCAAGGGAGAATTTTGCCCTAAGTAAAAATATAAAGCTGACCCCACAATTGGCCTGCTTCATACATGTTTTAACCCCCTGAACTGCTTGGGGTATTAGCATATGGGATCTTTTATTCACAAGTGCAGTAGTGTCTGAGTGCATGAGGAGTGCTGATTAAAGCTATTCTGAGTCTTTGAGTGCTTTTCTGGCATTTCAAGAGAGGCAAATTCTCAAAAAAAGTAAATTGATCTTTTGAGGACTCTTTGCTGCACCAGTGAAGTATTTTAGCAGTGATGACTTCCAGAGAAGTGATAGAGGAAATACTCACAAGTGACTTCCAAAGCAAGGTGCTTCAGAAGAGAAGTTGAGTAGTTTTAAGATCAAATTTTAACAGGTCCTGGATGCCTCCTAAAGTTGCTTCCTCAAGCATCTGCACATCAACTCCCTTCACAATTTAAGCTGAGCATACAAAAACGCAGTATGGGTAGGCACTCTTGAATGTGCTGCTCTGTGTGACTTCCTCATAGTCACTTGGCAGTTCAGTAATAGAAATAAGATAGAAATAAGAACATAGGGTTCTTTATGTCTATTGTGTCCATTAGAACAATGCTGCTGAGACAGAAGGTCTGGCCTTCAAAATATAAAGCCTGAAAAGAAAGCTTTGGGGCTTTTTTTTTTTTTTTTTTTTGTAAGGTCCAAATGTGTTTCATTCAGCTTTGCTGCTACTCCCAAAGTCTGGTTATAAACAAGTATGATATTTACCCTGGAAGCTGCACATCTGGATTGCAGTGTCTGTAACTGCTTTCATTGTCATGGTAGTTTTGAGCCTCATAATACTGTGTGTGTGTAGAGAACAGCTTGTAAGAGGTAACCTGAGACAACTCTGTTTTATAGTGAAGACCTTAAATATCTTAAATCACCAGTCTGCAAGATAGCCACAGCCTTCAACCTTCTATATTTGACTCCACAGTCCTAAAATTTTGCTTTTAATGTCCTCCAGAATTCTTCTGAGTCTAACTGCTCCCTATCAAATTTCCATGCTGACTTTTTGTCCAAAGCAATGATATACCAGCTACTTTCAAGGGAGATGAACATGAACTTCAGAAGAGTCCACCTCTAGGTGTAAACCCTTTTATACTGTTAGACAGCAGTAAAACCTTGAAATTCATTTCTTTACATTGCAAATACAGTGATGTAAGCTGCCAGCATTATCAATACTTAGTGCCAAGTGACAAAATATTGTGTCTGAATAACCCCTGTGTAAGTGACAGGTTGTTTCCTTACTGCAATATGTTGTCATATCCTTGGTGTCTTCGGATACTGCACCGTGGAGGCTGTACATGTCTGAATGGATTAATATTTAAAATGTTGTTAATTAATAGCTTAGGAAAAAAAAACCAAACAACAGTCCTGTGTCTTGATTCCACCTGTGGTTGCCCAGACCACCTCAATGCAGGTGGTCCCTGAAAAGCTGCAGTAATAAATAGCCATTTTGTTCCAATGTGGGCAAAGAACCACTCAAAGGGACATAAAACTCAGAGGCTTCCACTCGTGCACAATTCATACAAAGTAAGGGTTTGAATGTGCATAGCTGCTAGCAGAATGGAAGGAGGACACAAACTGTTCACTCTAAGGGACTGAGGTCAGCTAGAGAGAGCTACATTTGCTTGGAAGAACTGACAGACTACATTGGTTCTCTCCTTTCTCTTTTACTTCTTGGAAAGGTTATCCTAAAAGCTTTTCCAGATGTAAAGACATGGTGGTAAGGTGTCAGTGTGGAAGAGTTAAGATGCAGCACTTTTGTTTAAACTTGCTTTTACCTTCTGCTTTTAACTCCTACTCGCTACAGCTGTGGCTTGACAGCTAACTGACTTCTGCATAACTTGTGGCTGATTACCTCATGTCCCTGGTTTCCTTTGCGCTTGCCTGGGTGATTCTTTGCTCTCACAAGCAGAAATATGGACAGAGCCATAGAAGAGTCATTTATTAACCACATAGCTTCAGGCAAACAAATAAGGCTGCATACCCCAGTCTGGATAATACTGTGCTGCGGAACTGTTTGAAGCTCTGCAGATTTACTGATATCAGTGGAAGGCCTGGCTGTAAAATACAGAGGTAGAAATGTAACGTGTGTTTGTCCAGCATCTGGCATTCTCTTACCCTTCTTCCAACTGGGTGTCTCTGTGGACCTCTTTCATAAATCACTACTAACACATGATACTTCTGGATAAGTTCTTTCTCAGAAGCTACTGCAATACTGAGGATTAATTTTAGCCTACCCATTTGTTCTGCTCTTCAGCAACAGCAGAAACTTATCTCATTTTATGAGTGATTACCCATATTATTAAATATTATGGCCTTTTTGGATGATATAAAGTCAAGTCTAGGGATCTGTCATTTGTTCTGTCTAAAATTATTTTTCTTCTCTAATGCAGAATGTATAGGTATTTGTAATTTACACCTTTTTTCTTGAGCTTAAAGTAGGGTCATAACAACTCAGTGGTACAGGTTTGGGAAAAAGGGGCTGGAAAGTTGCCCAGCAGAAAAGGACCTGGGGATGCTGGATGGCATCTGGCTGCACATGAGCCAGCTGTGGAAGGATGATGGCATACTGGCCTGCATGAGAAATAGCATGGCCAGCAGGACCAGAAAGTGATTGTTCCCTTATACATAGCATAGGTGAGACTACATCTGTAGTATTTAAACTACGTTCAGCTTTGGGCCCAAGTACAAGAAGGGTACTGAGTTTCTCAGACTTGTGCAGAACACAACAAAGCTGGTGAAGGGACTAAAAAACAACACCTATGAGAGAGTGGCTGAGGAAACCAAGGTTGTTGAGTTTGGAGAAGAGGATGCTGAGGAGAGACCTGCTTGCTTTCTACAACTATCTGATAGAAGGTTGCTGTGAGGAAGGTGTCAGTCTCTTTTCTCAGGAGCAACAAGTGGTAGGAAATGACAAAATGTTCTCAAGTTGCATGAGAGGAGGTTTAGATTGGCTATAATGGCAATATTTCTTACGGAGAGCATAGTCAAGCATCAGAACAGGTTGTCCAAGGAAATGGTGGAATACCCATGTGTGGAAGTATTCAGAGAATGTGTGGAGGTGGCACTAAGGGACATGGTTAGTGACAGGACTCGGCAGGTCAGATTGATGGTTGGTCCCAGTGATCTTGAACATCTTTTCCAACCTAAATGGTTTGATGAAGATCATGGTTAACATTTGATATGAAGCAAGGCAAAGGATAGGAGAGTTCATCACTGACTTTTCAACTCAACGCAAGCACTGGTTTGCAATTCAAGTACAATTTCATTTGCTGGGTTTCATAGCAGCCTTTACCAGTACACATCAAAATACATATGTTGGGAGAAACTGAGTTTATTAAGACAGTATATTTTAAAATTGGCTCCATTGCCACACAGCTGGCAACAAGGAAAAATAATCCAAGGCAACGTGTAAAAAACTTGTTCTCTACCTAGACTGAATTTTCCAATAACTTGTCTCCAACAGACCACCCTATGACACTGATTGCAAACATATAAAGCCTGGTTGTTTCAAAAGTAATAGAAATAAAATGTAGATGTTGAAATGCCAGCCTCCCTCTATTTCCTTCCAACCTTTTCTTTTCATCTCTTACTGTTTATTTTACTTTTTTTCCTTCACGGTACCTTTACTCTCACTGGTTTTTCCTTTCAGTACCTCTCTGTTTCTTCTCACAATCAAGTGGAGCTTTTAGCATTAATGGCAGAATAAGAGCCAGCAGACAATGAAAAGAGGCTGGGGCAGCAAATTCTGTGAGCATACAAAGCAAAAAAGAAAAGAATGATGTGGGTTACTGACACCAGCTTCACACACCACACGCTTGGTACCAACCAATTTGGAATTGTAATTCTCTGAAGTAAATCCTAGCTCAATATGTTTTGTTGTGTTAGTTTTAAAACTGTTTAAAAGATCTTATTTTAAAACTTTGCCTCACATACCTTTGTTTGAAATAAAAAGAGCTTAGTAATGAGCAAAAAATAGCTGGGGAAGTACCACACAACTGGGATAGAGAGGCTTTCAGGCTTTACTTACGTGTTCATTGATTTTGAGCTGCTAGTCAATCATTGTTAGACTACTGAAGTGGACTGATTTCACAAAAAAAAGGGAATGCTGCTTATTTACTTAATTTATTTGCCTTAAGGAGTTTTGGGCATTTTGAGGAGGCCAGGAAAAGACACGAATTACTGCTAATATGTTTGTGACAGGGCTACACAACCTGACTGCTCACTGAAGTTTCCTCGTCTCATGCTGTTAGAAAGCCAGGAGAAAGATGTGTAAATAACAGAGACTTTGGAGACATCTCTTCTTGCCACCTTGGAAAATGCAGAATATTTGCAGAAGAGCAGAACTAATTACTCAGGAAAGGCAGAACTTTGAAAATAAAATAGCAGACTGATTAACCTAGATCACTGAAAAACCCAAGAAGCACTAACTTCTGTTGTCTTGAACTAAAATACATTAAGTGTTTCTTTTTTTTTTTTTAAATATACTTTCTAAAGGATGTTAACTAAAATACAATATTAGAGGACAAGACTGTTTTAACAATAATACTGTAAAACAGCTGCAGCTCAAATATAGCTGTGTGGCATGGAACATGCAATGAAATAATTTGCAAAATTTAGTGCTGTGAGTCAGATGTGGTTCTCATAAGCAACTGATGTAACACTTCACAAAGCAAGCTGCAGAATAGGATAAGATGGGAAGCTGCTGAAGGATTTCTGCAGTTCCTGCTCCCAGGTCCTCTCTACTTTAAATTCTCCACTGGTTAAAAAAAAAAGTGTGAGTATAGATATATTCTTCTGGTTTTCATTCATTGTTTCTTTGGCTGTTTGGGTCCATAGCAAGTTTTTGCAAACTCCTCTTGTAGGATCTAATTAGTGTGAAATGTATTACAAATTTATCACAGCTTTCCTCAATAATAATTAAGGTAGTTGATAATACATCCACAAAAACATAATTCACTTTCCCTCTGAGGACAAAAAGGATGCAATTTTATTATAAAAACAATTTTATTGCCTTAATATTACATTACAAAAAATGCCTTCCACAGCAGAACACATTAAGAACAGGGATGAATGCAAACCAAACAAAACAGAAAGTAAATCATCTATGAAACCACTTATTTCAGTACAACAGGGAACAGTAATCCAAGTTTGAAGCAGCTTTTCCTCCTCTGGAGAATGCAGCGCTTATTTTCCTGCTTATTGGAGCTCCAGAATAAGCCAAAGTAATTGCACTGCACTGAGATTTTGATTCCTTCTCTCTCAGTGACCCATACCTTGTCCCCAACAAGGATGAGTCTGTTGCAGTAGAGGAAAAGTTGTCATGAGAAAGGCTGCAATTTTGACTTGCCAGAGCAATAGCTATGAAATGTGCTCTCTTCACATGCTGGACAGAAAGGAGAATTTTTTATATTAAAACACGGACAACATGTTTGGTCCACGCCAACAACTGCTTCTCAGATCTCCACTCCCATCAAATTTCAACTGACTTCCAAAAGCATAACTCCTCCAGGTACACAGCTAACACGAGCACTTTATGATGCTTCAACAGAACTCCACAAACCTTAAGTTCTGTCCTGCTTTCTATTAGCACCTTTACAAAATGGGATTCTTGAGTGAGGAGACGATCAATATCTTTATCTTTTAGTCCACATTAACACACTAAACAATACCTTCTTATACATCTGACAGCAAATGAAACTGAACATACCAACAGGTACCCAAATTCTTGGATGTGTAGCCACCTCTTTGGCACCACAGTTTATCTGATGTCAGCACTTGTCTCTTCTGGTTAAGTTATAAATCGTGCATTATTTTCTTTGAAGCATTTATAGTCTGGCAAATTCTTCTTGCAAAGGATGTTGCTAGCATGGCTTACAAAGTTAAATGAATCCTTTTTCTTTACTTTCTTTTAATGTTATGAAATAATTGACATTTCTTCCTTCTCTCTGTTCTCATTTATTACATTGATAATGCTTCTGAAGTATTTCATAAATTCCATCCGAACATCTTCAGGATCTTCTTCTAAGTTGGAATGTATTAGTTTCAGCTTGTTCAACGGGTAAGCTTTGAATGTAAGAAAAAAATAATTAGCCACATTCCTTTAGAAAAGCAGCACTCATGATCAATGTCGTGGGACAGATCTTGGTGAAGACATCAGTTGAATTCGGAAGTATCTGATGTCTCATACCCCAAATGACATATAATGTGAAAAAGAAATGCAGCATAGCTTGTTAGCACTACAAACAAGAAGAACTTGCTGCTAGTTTAAATTCCTCAGATGTTATAATTAAGGCTTAAAGTATTGGTCTCACAGTCAATTAGGCATAACTGAATAATTCAGCACTGAATTGCATTTTCCTACTGAATTGATAAGATTTTTGAATTATTTTAAAATTACAGAATGGTATTATTATGTTAAATATGTATTAATATATTAATGCTTATAATAAGTACTTGTTTGAAAACCAGAATAGGTTGTCCAGAGGCAATGCATGTTCTCACTTGTAAAAACAGCCACGAATAATTGTGCTGCATATAATAACATAGCTATAATAATTTTAAGAGGAAGATCATTAACCTCGTAGTACAAAGGGCTTCTAGTCAGTTGATCACTAAAATGCAGGCTTAAGTGGCTTCAAAAGTGTCAGTAAGCAGAAGGTAAAATTCTGCGTAAGATAAACTGCTAATGATGATTATTTCTGGTTGCAGTCATCAGTTCTAATGCCTGGCTCAGTTGCACACTCACTGCATGGCCTTAGAGATGTCACTCAAATGTTTCAAATCTTTATTTTCACTTTTGGGAAACAGGAACATTGTTTACCTTCTAGGTGACTTTTGAAATTCAGCAATTTTGTTTTGCAGAGCACTCTAATTTTCTTGGATTTTCATGAAAAATGAAAGCCACAAGGTATGGCCAATCTCAAAGATTAAGAGATCAACAAAAAAACTCTGACCAACATATTCTATATTCTTACCTAACGACAGATTTTCTGTGTCCTCTGCACTGCCTGGCTTGTGATGTGCAACAAGGAGACACTGGCTGTCAAGCAGTGGCTGCTGCTGCACGAAACAGGAGTACCACATTTCAATTTCTTTCAGGTGACTGGGCAGTTCAGGATTGAAGATTATTATTACGCCGTGAGAATCCTTCATAAGAGCTGGCCAGCATGTTTCAAACCTTGAAAAAGAGGTGCATGGAAAATGGTAAGACTGATAGCTGGAAAATGGAAATATGCACTCAAACTTCTCATAGTTTTCTTCTCTCCTCTTCAACAATATATCTTGGTGGGTGCTCCATCCCTGAAGACGCTGGATGGAGCTCTGAGCACCTGATGGAGCTGTGGGTGTTCCTGTTCAGTGCAGGGGTGTTGGCTTAGATGGCTCTTAAATGTCCCTTCCAACTCATATGATTTCAGTAGTTTTTCATGAATATAATGTTAGTAATCTTGCCTGTGATATATGATATTCCAAATATACTTTCTTACTTACTCCTAAAAACTAATCTGTCCAGTTCTGTAATCCTGGGAAATTAAAGCTCAATCATATAAATACATTATTTGAAATCCATTCACATAATAATTTCAAACAGAAAAAGGCAGGGCCTCTGCTTTGCCTCTAACTTCATTCTGAGAGCCACAGATTTTACTGTTATGCTCAGCCCTTAGCCAAAACTAATGGTGTCAGCTGAGATCATGGAGAGGATTACCCAGCATTAAATGCTTTACAACAGAAAGCAATACAAATTTACACAGGAGTGAAGAGATGGGAATATTCCTCATCTCCAAAAGATCACAGGTTTCAAGGTCTTACCCATGTTGTGTAAACAGGATTAGTATGAACTGAATAACCTGGAGGAAGTAACAGCAATGCCAGCTTACTTCTGATCACCGCTGCAGTCCCACAGCTCAAATCGACACCCAGCTCCTTTGCTGTTCCCATTTAAGTTCGGCTTCTCATACTCCAGGATCCTGTGAACACAAGCAGGTGTCATCCACCACCCTGTCATCCACCCCCTCAGACCTGTGGGGCGGCGGTGGGTTGGTTCAGCCCGCACTGCTGTGCTCACCTCACTCCTTGCGTTGGGACATAGCTACCAATCCCCTCTATGCTCTCTGAAACAAAGTTTGCCAACACGGATTTTCCAGACTGGTACATGCGAGAAAATAAAAGACAACCGTATGAATTCAACACGCCAAAGCCACAACGGACAGAAGAACACGGGGCTGCTCCCAGCACCCTGCCCTCCCTCAGGCCTGCCCACCTCCTTCCCTCCCAGGCTGCACGGCCGCAGCCTCCACATCTCCGTGCCTCCTAGGCCCCGCCTGGGATCTGCGGCCCTCCAGGGGCAGTCCCGAGCCCCGGGGACGATGCCCAAGGGTTACGTGCTGCTCCGAGGCTCTCCGAGGCCGAGATTCCCTCACCTCGCGGGGTCCCACCAGCAACACCTTCGCCTTCAACATGGCGGCCGCCCGCCCGTCGCCTAGCAACGCGGCCGCGTGGGGAGCGGAGGGGCGGGGGGGGAAGGTGCGCTGCGATTGGCTGTGCCGCCGTCACGTGGTGGAAGGGCTGCACATAAAGCAGGGCCACGCGGGACGCTGCGGACAGTTCCGCGTTCCCGCTGGTTGGTGGAGCGCGCAATGGCTGTGGAGGAGCGCGCGCGTGTCCCGTGGCGGCTCGGGGCTGCAGCGCCGTGGTTAACTGCTGTGGCTTGAGGGACCCTCGCTGTGGTGTCTGTGGGACGGGGCTGGCTGCGGGCTTCCCTCAGGAGTCGGGTAACCGACACAAACACGGCACAGCGCTCCGCTCTGCGGTGTCCCTCTGCTCTGTGAGGTGATGCGGTCCCCGCCTGCGGTTCTGCTGCCGTTTTGACAGCAGATTGTCCCTGCGTGGACAGCACGGCGAGTTTGTTAGGGTAAGCAGGAGTATTCCTGGAGCAGCAGCTAAATAAAACCAAAACACCATCTGGCAGGCAGCTGTGCTGCTCCGGGGCTGTTTGGTGCCCGGGTACAAACGTGCTTTCAAACAGGGCTTTTGAATGCTCCCTAAACATAAATGTTTACTATGGGTTCTGCTAATAAATGTGAGCCAGGACTGCTCTGCTCGCACTGGGATGGCTCTGAGCTCGTTGTGTTACGTGTGGTTTAGGTTTGTGAGGGGACACGTGTGAGCCAGGGTGAATTCGCCATGCGTGGGACAGCTTGTTGCCAATGCTCTCTGCTGCTGTGGTGTTTCTCACCTTTCAGACCCAATAACTTTGATGGGTGATCCAGAGAGAAGCAATGAGGACAACGTCTCTCCTATTAGCTGGCACATCGTACGTGGAGAAAAACGTGGTATAAACAGATTGTGGACAGCAAAGTAGAAGGAAATGATGGACTAAGAGTGGGAGTGGGTGAAGCTGGCTGCTTGTGCAGCTGCCCAGAAAGCAATTGGGATTAAGGTGAAGTATCACGTAGCATCCTCGTGTTTGTATCAGCCACTGAAGAGTAAGGAGAGCACAGCTGACTACAGCTGCAACTTTCACATCTATCCACATGCTTTAGGGCTTTAAGTCACTTCAGAAGGTGGGAATTAAGCTGCCCGTCCATGTAGAGTGACATTCTCAAAGCATCTAAGTTAAATACAGTTCTGTTACAATCAGCATCTGCCTTAGGAGTTCAGGTTATGTTAGTTACTGATACGTTGGTTGCTGAGGCTACATGTGTACAAATCAGCCGAAGGCCATTTTGTTTCGCTTACTTAAAATTCTTTGTTAGACTGCAGGAAAGAGGAAACTCCATCTGTAAGTGAACTGCTTCCAGACTGCACTGGTAATGGTGTAAGTCTTGCGTTTATGAGATGGCTGTTTTTTTCACCAGGACGTTTTGGTAGCAAGCAAAAATGATCTCCAGATGATTCTGTGTGTGAAGATCCTCCTTCTTCCTTCAGAAGCAATTGCAGGCTATTAATAATATTTCAGTAAAATTATTCTTCGCTCTAGGAAGGTCTGTGAGAATTCATAGATGCAGTGATTGCTCTGTCATGGCACGTGGTGCTTGCTGCTTGAATTGCAGATAAGAGGCTCCAAGTCAGAGGCCCACAGGTTTTACTGGAAGCAGCAGTAAAATGTAGTGCCAGTCATTCAGAGAATATTTAAGCTCTTGCAAATCATTCAGTCTTTTGGAGAACAAGTATTTAATGTTTGCGTTATATTTTGTTGAATGTGGCATATAAAATTCTTCTCGTGAAAGCAGCCCAAGAAAAATCTTTCCTGAGCTTGTGGCTCAGTACTGGTACGTTGTTTAGTGCTCTGTAACAGTATTTCCAAACTTTGGGAAACGTACCCTAGAGCAGTCACATCAGGTTGTGTGTGAAAATACTGAATGCCTCTTCAGAAACACAACCACATGGCAAGGCTTACCATGAGAATGAGTGCTCTGCGTGTTTATTGTGCACAGTGTGACAGTCAGTGTGTATGTGCAGGAACAGCCTTCGAACAGATGCAGAGACCCATGTTATACCCCATTTATTGATCCTGATCAGTTGGGGAGCAAGGCGTGGAGTGCAAAAAATTGAAAGGAAGAAATGCTTTGTGTGTGTGTGTGCTGAAGATATGAAAAATAAGGAGAATATCAGTACTGTTGTGAGCTGCAAGCTTGCTGCTGACGAAGCTCAGGGAAGCAGCACCTATCTGATGTTGATTAAACAGGTAGGATGAAGTAGGCAGAAAAAATGGATGAAGTGTGGCTGCTCTCTGGACGAGGCTTTGGTAGAGCTAGGAAAAAGGACCAAGTGGAAACAGGACATTAAAGTGCATTGACAAGGGGTGCAGAGGTTTGCTGCTCTTTATTGAGAGTCTGTTTCACTTAAAGGTGGCTCGCAAGGGGGTGTGAGCACTCAGTTCAGTCTTTTTCCTTAGAAAATCTGTTCTGGAAGCACTTGGAAAAACTCATGCAAAACCAGCTGCTTTGTTCCAATAGATGCCAATAGATCATTATAGATAATTCCTATTAATGCAGTCCGTGGTCTCAAAGTCCTCTCCAAAGTAGATGAAGATCTTTATTTCTATGTCATATATGGAGAAATAAAGGCAGAGAAAATGTCAGTGATTGCCTGAGGAATTTACCTTGCTGAGAGCAGAGGTGGCATTTAGTTACAATGCCTCTACATTTCTGTGCAGTTCTTGCACCCTGGTTTGTCATCACGGAAGAGGCAGGGATGCAGAAAACTCAGTAGCCAATATATTTTCCTGACAAGTGGATGTGACCTTAGCAACACCTTAGAGGCCAAAGCTCCCTATGTACTTTCATCAAAACCAGTGGTTGTTCCCAAGGATGAATTTGACTTGCTCCATTTATGAAGTGATGTATTAACAAAACACAAGAAGCAACACTCCACCTCCACGACCCCTCCAACTCAACACATCACAATGCTCTAATTTTCTGATCCTCAGGACATGAATCTAGAGAGGAGATTTAGCTCTGATGGTTTTAAATCTTAAGGTAAAACTGTGTACGATGCCTCTGATAGATGTCGTTTTTGTTATTCTGAGTTTCTCTGATCGCGGTCTGTGGAGCAACAGTAACACCTAGTGGCTAAACGTGCCAGTCCATTGTCTTCTTTTGTTCCCTCCCTTCAAGAGGTATGAGTTGGAGGGGATGTGGTGTGATTGACAGTTTTGACTTGAGAGGCCAACACTTAGCATCTCCAGGGATTTGCCATTTTCCTTTCAACCCTCCACCATGTTCTGTTTTCTATTAAAAGTGGTAGATGAAATATGAAACTCTTCCTCCCACCTCCCAGCCCCCATTGCTTTTCTGGCTCATGGAGGAGGTTGTTCCAGTCCATCTTGATCTGAAGGTGGGTGGGCTGTGAGTGGCCGGGTCTACTGCTTCCAGCTTGGAGCACTCAGATTTCTGTATAGAATCCAATATTTTTTTTTTCTTTTTTCTTCTTTTTTTTTTTTTTTCTTTTCTTTTTGGTATGAGGAGGATCAAGCAGATCATCCGATGGAGCGTGGTGACCTTGGTTCATTTGATAATGTGGTGTTAACTTGCCTGAGTTGAGGCAGAGCAAACTGGTCTGTTCCAAACAGTACTGTTTCTAAAGATGTGGTACGCAGGATTGTTTGCCACGATCTACTGGGACTGCTAATTTATCAGAGGGAGATCCCCTAGAAAAATAGTGTTTGAGAGGAAAGAACCCATAGATGTTCACTGTGTTAGCAGGGGAGCCTTTCAGAGGGTCTTCTCTCCCATAGCAGAGAAGAGCTTCAATTTTTCCCTTGGAGACAAAAAAAAAAAAAACATTAAGCAAAAGTATTTCAGCTAAAGCATTCATAAATAGAGCTTCAGTTCTGTGGGAATTACAGTACGAAGCCATCATGGTTTTGTCATATTCATACTGTCTAATCTTAGGCCTCTGGTTTAGGTATTCTGAATGACCCTTTGGAAGAAGCATCTATTCAGGAGAACCTTCACTGCCTGATGACAGTCTGAGCTCTTAATTTGTGCTGTGAATGCATTCTTTTTGCTCTGGCACAAACTTGCATCACTGCTTGCTCAAAGTAGCAGCATTGCCTCCATACCCATCCCCAGCTTTCAATTTAGGCCTGTCCCAATTACCAGGGAACTGTTTTCAGCTGAAAACTGGTATGACCCCTCTGAAAAGACAAGAGAGAATAGTTTTCACTTGGACCAACCACCTGTTCCTGCTTGCTGTGCTGCATAAAAACCTTTTGCTAACAGAGAGAAGGTAACAAGGACCTGTGGGGATGTGGCTAAGTGGGACAAAGTGGGGCTATTTCTTTCAGCCACTGTAGATATTTGCTGCATTGATGTGGGCTTATAATTACACCATTAGTCAGTCCTCTTAAATTTAGTATTCTTAATAACTGTTGGTGAGAGCAGTGAAATATTGCCTGGTGGTGAGGAATGAGGAATAATGTGTAGGGATGTGCTGGTAGAAGAGGGCATAGCAGCTTTATTGAACTGGATTAAAAAACCTCGGTGCCTGGGTGGTAAAAATAACAGTTTCATAGGTGGTAAAGAGTCCTGGATGACTAAAACAAGACAAACAAGGGATAACTGTGATTCAAAAGAGCTCATGCAACATTTTCTATTAGACCCGTATGTTTTTTTGTTTTGAATACAAAATTTCAAAGTAAATTTTGTTTCTCATTGACAGATGTGTTTGCCACCCCTGTTGGTCTGGAAAAAGCCTGCGTTTATTAACAGTTTGATCTATTTATTCACCCAAGGACAGATCCTTATTGCCTTCATAGAAAGCAAGCCAAAAAAGCATGGATTGCCTTGGAGGGACTGCCTTCTGGTCCTAAATGAGAGGACATCCTACTGACAGGAAGGTTTTGTTTTCTCTCATTTTTTTTTCTCTGTTTGATTTATGTGTTGCTTTGGAGATGATGGCC